ATTCGCGAGACGAAAGGAGAGAAAAATGATATTTCGCGAAATAGTTTCGTCGAAGGAGCCAGATGGTGGCCAAATGACGGAAAACGCGGTCCTCTCTTGTAATACTGGAAATGAGAGGAAAAGGAGAACGCGAAATTTTCGAGATTCAGGGTGTTTGATCGTAAAATACAAGAATGATTTCTCTTGTAACCGCGATTCAATCGATCGTAACATTTTAGCAACATCAAAGATTTTACAGATGACAAGTCTTTGATGTCATTACAATGTTAGTCGGCCGGATCAAGGCTAAAGTAAAAGTTGGATAACTAATCGAGACGATGTACGACATAAGTGCCCAGTAGTCGTCCCTACCAATCGAGATTCCCTTTGACACACCGCGAAGGATACGTTTATTTTAGCTCTCTCGGCCCTCTTTCTCTTTCATTGACCATCATTTTTTACGTTCGGTCAAGTACAAAGGGAACTCGAGCTTTGAACGAAGCCATATCCGGATTAAATTTCAATTTCACTATTTTATAAATGTACGGCAGTTTGCATGGTATATTAGTTTCTTTCGACTTTTGCGTAGTTATTCCACTTCGATGAAGACGATTTTTAAATATTTTCGAATAAGATTCTTTTCCGGTTTTCTTCGGATCCGTGGAATAGGAAAATAAATATAAAACAACTCTCGGACGGATTGAAATTACAATGGTCAATTGTATCTATTACAACAATAGATACTGAGATATCGGCTGTTATTATATCGAAATCGGAGGATTTGGTAATTTCTTCTTTGCAATTTCATCTTCTTCAACTTTTATTGTTCTCAAAAATATCTTTGCGTCATTCATGACGAAATAATACTGTTGTTACGATATTTATAAAAGACATTGTTACAAAAGAACTATTCTCTTTTGGACTCGCAGAAAAAGACCTCCTCTACCTTGTTAGGTATACTACGTGTAATCGCGTATCGGACGGCGTAAAGTTTTCGGTACACGTCCGTTCGGGAACATCGGCGGCACTTTGAAACACGCGACACATTCGACCACGCAGAAATTCACGCATGAATTGAGCCGGTAATTCGATCCTCGTTCGCATCTTTCAAAGGACCGACCGAAGATCTAAATCGTAGATAGCGAGCTTCGCTTCCAGTCTCTTTTTTCTCTTTACCTTGTACTCCTTCCCTTTGTCGCTGCTGGTCTTGAATATGGACAAGGGAAAACAAAATGTTTAATCGATCCTTCTCTCTATTTCGATATAAATATTATTTTCTGGCAATCGAATAAGCCGCGTTATATTATCGAAAGAGTGAAATTGAAAACTGTGCAAACCGATGCATCGTTGTTGGAAAAATATTATGCATAGAGATAAGATTAGGGGAGATCTTGAATGAGTGAAAAAATGTCCAAATCGTTCCGTACGACGGGTAAGGAAAGTCTTTTCTGGATGCTTGTTTGAAGGACGTGAATGAACGTTGGAGGTCCGTTTTCTGGAACGCGTAGGTCGTTTATGTATAGGTTATATGGAGGTCATAGGTCGTTTCCTAGAGCCGTTCTGGTGAGGAGAGCAAGGATGGAAAGGGCGAGAAGCAAGATTACAAGAATGCCCCACCCTCGATATACGCACACCGGACTATATACTATATTTAGATCCGGTCTTGGAACCTGTCCTATTTCTGTTTATTTTCTACTGTTCGATGAACAGACTCTGTTCAAGTCTTCCCTCGTTCAACATATTTTGTGCGTGTGTCAAACTTATATATATATATGTGTCCATGGATTTTTTTTTTTTTTTTTGATTAAATTTCTTTGATTGGATTCCTCGTTCGTTCTCATTCGTCAGGATAGGAAATTCTCATCGACGCGTTAAAATACTTATCCAAGATTGGAAATCTTCAGAATTCAATTTCTTCTCATTTTCGCGACAAATATAATTATCTGTGCGATTCGTGGTTAATCGCAGGTTAACCTTCATTGCCAGTGCACCGTGACAATCATAATCACGGCGTTTAACAATTCCTCCTATAACCTCGTTCGTGCTCCGCCGCGATGTCATCCGTGTTTTCCTACACAAGCCGATGTTTAACGCAAATTACGGCAACGGTTCACGCTAACGTACTCCTCGGATCTGATAAACCCTTTATCTCCGACCCGATTCTCCATCGGGCAAATTATTTATTTTCACGATGTTATCGGTGATCTTATTCCGTTCCGTGAGGGTGTGCAGGAAGGTCAGAAATTCGTGCATCGTTGGATCCAGGGCCACCGCCCCATCCCCTTTATCTCGATCGAGACGAAGCACGTATAATGCAAGAAGAAGAAAAAGAAGAAAGGGAGGAGTAGTAGTAGTAGTAGTAGTAGTTGGTGAGGTTTTCGTTTCGAACGCGCCGATGCGAATCGCTTCGCCAGATATTTCGCAGTCTCTACGGTTCACGTGCATTGAAAGGAGAGTTTAGGCTCCTCTTCCTCACGATTTCTCCCTCCGTCGATGTGTGTAAGATGGAAGTACAAGTAGGCGCGTTGTATGGAACAAGGGACGCGAGTTGGTATTGGTAGAGCGATTGGATAGAGCGAGTATGGTGTATAGTGCGCTGAGAAGAAGGAGAGGATGGAGAAGAAGAGCGTGGAAGGAAGAATAGGCGAGGGGGAGAGAGAGAGGAGAGAAGAGGGTGCTCGTAGCCTTGACCGTGGCCACCTCCTCAGGGCCAGCGAGCGAAGAGAGGAGCTTGACGCTCTAGCAGTCTCCAAGGCCAACTGCATGGAATCACGCCACCGCGATGTATTTAAACGGGCCGAACGCCGAGAATGTTGTTAAAAAGTCCTCTGCAACAACCTCTGCGCCTCCTCCTTCATTCGCGAGGGAAGAATCATCATTGTTTTTCCTCCTTCTTTTCGATGTTTTTCAAAGTTTCCAGAGGATTCCTTTCCGTGGAATTTTCTATTTCGAATTACTATCGCCATTGTTGTATCGAGTTTGCGCTGGATTCCTTTTGCAAAATTAGAAAATTGATCAGTTAGAATCGATTAAAATTAATTATTTTGGTACTTGGAAAATAATTTCAATTGCAAGAAGATAAATAATAAAGTATCATCGAATACTATTAATTAATATCAATCTCTATAAAAAGATATCCGTATAATAATAAAAAAAGAAAAAAGTCTAAAATCTTGTTAGAAGAATTAAAAATTAAGAATTGGACTGATTTTTTATATCAAAGAGGATGCTGTGGAGATAGATAAGAAGGGGGCGTATTCACAAATATTTTCTGCATATATTTTTTTCATGGAAGCGATTCGAATTTATGTCGGTCGTGATTCTTTCTTCATCTAGACTGGGTTCCACGATCATCCTCTCCCCCCTTGAGCCACGCATATAGAGACATTTTGGCGCCGCAACGCGACCTATAAATCCCGCTTTCGGTGAAGTGCGACGAGCCCAGGGGTCC